GCTTACCAGATGAAAAAATTCCCTTTTTTGTTTTTTTTTTGGTACCGGGGATCGAATTTTCCTTTGTAATTATTTAAACACACCCAAATATTTGTATCTGTTTTAGAAGCTTCCAAACTGATAAGTATTGGCATGTTTACAGTTCTATCATTTCTTCTCCATAACAGTCACTGAATTTACAGAGGAATCAATAAATCAGTCTTGCCTGGAAAGTGACACACCTCAAGTGAAGCCTTTGATAAATCAGTAAGGGAATCCTTTGAGTACAGTGATTTCATCATTAAAGTAGCTCCTCTCTCAGGGCCGGGGATTTAGCTCAGTGGTTCTGCTGCCTGCCTCAAAAGCGCAAGGTCCCGAGTTCGAACCCCAGTACCAAAAAAAAAAAAAAGAAAGAAAGAAAAGGTAGCTCCTCTCAGCACCTGGATATTTATATTGCTCAATTTAGTAGATAACAATTGAAGATAGAACAGGATCTTGTGTGAAGTGCTATTTTTTTCCTGACCACAAGATGGAGCATTTGTCCTTTTGGGGAGTCAAACGTTTTGGCCCACTAAGAAACATTCAGAACAATAAATCACCGCACAAACGTAAGGGCATCATTGTGAATAGAAAATTCTTAAACCACTTTTCAAAATCCTTCTTTAATCCTTTTTTGGGGGGGATGGGGTTTACTATGATTGAATCCAAGACCAACATAAATTATATTATAAATAAGTAATAACCACCGATTTATCCCACTGTTCTTTTTGTTGTCCAAAATGACAGAGAAAATATACTCTCACATGTAATCAGCCCATTTTTGGTACCAGAGATCGAACTCAGGACCTTGCGCTTGCGAGGCAGGTGGTGGAACAGCCCCTTTATTTTTTTTTTCTGACCTTTCATTTTTCCACAAGAAAGATTAGTCATGAAAATCAGAGCAAACTCATCTACAGTTATGTACATGAACTTCCTCTAGAGTGGTAAGAGAATACTTTGCACCTATGTTAAGCACTGCTAAAAGGCATAAGGAGGGAGAGTTGTGGGGTGAACAAATGGATTTGGAAACATCAGCCAGATGCCTCCCAAGGCTACCTTGTAGCTGTAATGTGTGGAATAATTGACCCACTTCCTGACGTCAGTCTTGTCTTCCACGGAGATGGATCTTACAGCAGCTTTGGAGGCAGAAGTCGTGGGCATGCTGAACTCAACATTCACATGATTGGCAAAGCTGGAAGGCACTTCCCGGTCAGAGCCAAGTTCAAGGTGGCAAAAGAAACAGTGTGGGTGGCCAGAAGCTATGAAAGAGAGAAGGAATCCAGAGATCAGCTTCTTTGGGGATGAAGTCAAGAAATTTTAAAAAAAGAGCCACCTCATTAACTGCCACCTGCCAGTCTCCAGAGGTTTCAGGGCTGAGCAGAGGATTTTCTTCAGCTTTATGTGCCTTAGACCCATTGATATGACATCATCTGATTACCACAGCCTGGTATCTTAGCAATAAAACCCATAGCCTAAGACATAGGCCATTCTCCAGTCAGAATGATATGTGGATACAGGACAACAACTAAGAAAGAGGGACTACAGATTGGAAGAACAGAATGCAAGGGATCAGCACTTAGCACCTAATAAAACATCAGTAACAGCCACCTGGAGCAAAATCATTGCTTTCCTTTGACAGATGAATTGAATTTTCTTAATAGCGTTCTATATTTTCAAAAGTGCTTTTGGCATGTTTTCGTGAGTGAATGATACATGTTTGTGAGAAAAACATTACAGACGGCACACATATACAGGACGAGGAAGCAGGTGGTACACTGGACAGAACACCAGATCCACATTCAGAACACCCTGAACTGACCTCCCGCTCTCCTAAGTGGCAGATTCCATAGCCCATTCCTCTGCTCTCTCCAGACCTCCAGTCCTCATGTGTAAAGTGGAGAGATGGCGGGGTAATGGAGTGGTGGGCCCAGAGCCCACTGCACAAGCCAGGCACAGCCCCTTGCGACTCCTTAATTCTGTAAGTTTACGGATAATTCCATTGTCCTTGGATGGCAAATTTAGGGTTTTTGTTTGAAAGTTGTTATTAGATTTTTGAAGAAAAAGAGAGCTTACCTCTGTAAATATAAAGATTGAAGCATCACTGTCATTCAACAGACACAGCAAGAAATATTTGTTGAGGGGCCTGTGCCTGATACTATGTTAAACGCTTGACACAGATTTTCTAACCCAATCTTCATAACAATCCCTTTACAGACGAGGAAATGGAGGCTCTTGGAGGCACAGTTGCAGCTAGAAAGTGGCAGAGCTGAGAGCTGAACTCAGCAGTTGGCTGCACTTTGCTTAAGTCATAACCTCACGGTCTCCAAAACTCAAGAGCAGGTTTGCAGGGTGACCGGGTAGAGACAAGCTAAGCTCCAGGATCCCCCATGTAGCAATTGGCTATGAATGAACAACACGAAACTACTCAGGCTTAATTATGTAACTAAACAGTCCCTTAGTTACCCTGCTTTCCCCAAGTAAACAATTCCAATTTTCTTTATTGGTCTGGGCAGGGCTTTTCAGTCCCAGAGAGTAAGGAGATATACACCCACTCTCCAAGGAAAACATTACAGAGTGAAATATTTGTTTTGCTGTTTCACAAATGTAACATAATTCAACACTTATCTGTAAAGAGTAAGACTTTGGGAAATTAATTGAACAATTGGTACTGTTTTTTAGGAAAGGAATTTAAGATATAATAGTAAAATTTACAGGATATAAAAATGAATCCATCTTTTTAATTGCATATAACAAATATAATTATATAGTATCATTTATTAGGTATTCATTACAGGCCAGATACGGTGCTGAGCCCTTAAAAGCACTATCTAATTTCACTCTGAATAATCTAGGTATTAATAGCCCTGTTTAATAGACAGGAGAAATTAAGTTTCTCTGAGGGTTAAGTAAATCGCCTGAGGTCACACTGCCATTATGTGGTAGAGCTAGGAATAAAACTCAGATCTGCCTCTGACTCCAAACGGTGTCCTAAATTCTTGATATATTGCTATGGGATTAGACTGCTGTAACATATACAGTAGACTCTCTTTATTCAGTGGCAATTTAGGCAACTGTTTTTACCTAATTACCTTTATTTGCACATTTTTGGAATATTGAAAAATCATTTCTTTTGCAGAAGTGACTCGCTCCTCTCATTCCACCAAAGCATATTCAGAGCAAACTCTGAAAGCTCCAGCTATGAATGGGTCAGGCTGGTGGACAGAGGAGAATAATTTGGAAATATGGTATAGTTTAATTCATGGTAATGAACTAAATAAACCCACAAATTATATCATCTTCCTTGATGAAATTGAGAAAATTAACATTAAAATTCAGATTCTTCACCCATAAAAGCTAATACTGGGAATGTTGTCCCTTCACCTGGTCTAATGAGAACTAGAATTCCAACAAAGACAGCTACTGCTGTAGGAGAGAATGTTTCATTTCTTGGGGTGCGACTCATAGGAGCAACAGGAGTTGTTCTGGCACCTTCTAAAATTAAGAAAAACTCTCCACTACAAAAGCACTGAGGAAAATGTTTGCTGAACACATTACTTTTCCCTGTCCTGTGTCCATTTCCCCTTCCTTCTGGTAGCAAATATTTTTTCCGCTCTCTCCCTTTAGGAAATAATCTTCCCTGTTCTGCATGGCATCTTGGTGCTTGGTGCTATAGCAACAAACTGCTCTAGATGCCCATGACTCGAGACAAATGGCACCAGGGCAGAGCATGACAGTGACAGTTTGTCTCTGAGGCAGCACCCTGAGAAGACTTCCACGAGCTTCTGTTACCAGGCTTGTTCTAGAGCCGTCCTTTCTGATTCTGAGCTCTGTTCTTTCGACCTTTCCTTCGGATGTCTGAGCTATTCATATTTATTCAACTCTTTTTTTCTTGCTTCAAGATCTTTGTTGCTTTATAACCAAAAGCCCTATGACACAGTACGATTCCGTATTTTAAAGCATTTTAAGATACGTTTATATACACTGGAAAAACTGCAAATCTCTGTTCTTATAGTGGGAATTATTTCAAGTGTGTGTCTATTTGGCTTCATCTATTAAGAGGAGCTGTAACGCTGCGAAAAGACTCCTGGATGTGGCCATATGATTGTAAATGAGTTGGGTCAGTTCACCTCCCGGGCCTTTGTTTCTCAGCTGTAGGATGAAGGGGTGGAAAAACCCAATATTCCACAGCTTCTCTTCCTAAGGGCTTCTGGGCCACAGGGTTTCTCTTCCCCTGCCAAGTCAGATGGCCCCACAGCTGAGACAGGAACCACAGCGCTCTCTGCAGGAGAACACTGTACAGTGCCGGTTTCAGGGAAATGAGTAACCAAGCAGAGAGGGAGACTTTGTTTTAAAATGCTGTCCATTTAGAAATAGAAGGTAGCAAACCCAACCTCAAACACAGAAGTCCAATGGTCTTTACACCCAGTGTCTGACACCAAATGCCTGGTGTGCGCCACTCCCTGAGCAGTCCCACTGTCCCTGCTCGCACATCACTGGACATTTCGGGTATGGGAGGAGAAGATTTAATAGCGATAATGGAAAAAGGCATGGCTGCACGTTTCAATTAGGAGTTTCCCCAAACCTTATTCTTTTTGCTTGGCTAGTAAATCCACTTTCATGAACAGATGGGGAAAATTTATTATAAACCAGAGACGTGGCTTAAGGGCTCATGGAATCACAGGCTTATTGCCTGCCGCAGGGGTCGCCCAGATGTACTCTAAGAAATAAAGCTGTTAGAGCTGCTTTGATTGCTACCTCATTTTGCCATTTCACTAAATCTCACTGGACCCTCGAGGAAAGCAATTGTTTTCTGGACTCACTCAAGCACAACAGACAGCCTCCCAAGGCTGTGAGCAAGCCGGCCAGGGGAGGTAAGTTCTTGTTTGTTTAAACCAAACATTCCTTCCTTTACTTTTTGTGGGAAGGAACCTTGGCCCCTTTGGACCTTCATATTCTGCTGGATCTCCAGCCTCTTTCCTATCCCTTCATCCCAAAGCCAAACTCTGAGTCGAGCTGTTATCGCTGACAGAGGCTGGACTCAGAAAGCTCACTTCACCTGTGTACTGTGTATGACTGGCCATAAACCTGCCTTTCACTTTCAGCTGAGGCACAGGCAGAAAGCTTCTGCAGAACCCAGAAGCCTTCTAGGATCCGGAAATGGGGTGCTTTCAGGACCACAGCTAATACTTTACCGCGTTCCAAAAGAATAGAACGTCAGAAGCTGCACTGGAAAGCTGCTGGCAGCTCAACGGGGCAGAATAGTGCACCGTTCTATGGAAGATGTATGATGAGGAGACAGAGGTGGAGTGAGCTGGGTCACTATACTTGTTATTTACTCTGTGTAAATATTTCTACTCTTCTGGTCCCCCTGCCTCTCCATCACCAGTCCACTCAACAACAACAAAAAGTTCTTCATCCAGGAACAGATGTCGAAGATTGGCCCTGGCTCTTTAGCAACCACATGGTTGCCTCCAGGAGGAGAAACCACTACCTACCTACCTGAGTTTTTGTCAGGCAGTCGGTTTATCCTCCACACAATGGAGCTGAAGGCATGCTCATACTTGGCAGTCCCCAGAGTTACTCTCATGACAGGCTCAGAGCCAGAGACACTAGCTGAGCCAAAACTTGCCCCTCGGTTCACTTTGGCTTTCAAAGACTTTTCCCCTAGGACACTTTCCCTGCGGAAGTTTTTCACCCACTCACTGGGCACTGGGTAACGAACCATTACATTCTCACAGGGAACCTGAGTGAGAGGGTCACGGTTGGAGGAGAAGCCGGGTGACATCCTCAGCCAGCTCTGCACCTCCACTTCCGCCCCACTGATGCTTGCCGCTGTCCTGAGTGTGAAAGGCAAGGTCTTCTCAGCAAACACTGTCCTGAACCGCATTAGCTCAAACCGGCAAGCATCCAAAGGGTTGAAGAGAATAACCCGAGAGCTGTTGAACACATCCTCATCCACGCACCCATGAAAATGGCACTCGTGGAGTTTAATCCATTTGGTGGTAGTGATGGGCATGATGTCTTGCCGAGAAACTATTTCGTTTCCTTTGATGAGAATGTCATTGAGGCCCAATCGGCACTCTGCAAGCCCAGAAAGGAAACTCAGAATATGGATCCGAGTCAAGACATGGTGCTGGAGAATTCTGTTGTCTCCTTTGCTTATAATGCCAGAGAATTCATCTCTGACATCCACTGTAATCTCCTCTTCAAGATAGTTCAAACCAACGGTGCTCAAGTCCATTGACAATACTGGAAGATCCATGAGCTGGTCCTGAACTGCACGAATGAAGCTCAGGAAGTCATCATAATTGGTGGTGCCCAGCTTAATCACTTGTTCCCTCTCTGCTGTGTGGGCCACAGCAGGTTTAGGCTGGTATTTCTTCTTCTCTTTGTAGGTGACTCGGTCTATCCGCAAGCTGTGGATCCTACCATTCTCATCATAGTTTTGAAGCCGAGGTTCTGAAACTTCATGGCAGATCTCCAGCTTGAACTCACGGAATGGCTTTTCTAGGCCCTGCTCATAATACAGCTGCAGGTAACCACTGTCTGTCAGTTTGATGTAGATTGGTCCCCAGTGCCTGGAGGACATGATGTTTTTCTTCTCAGGGATCCTGAGCATCATTGGCCAGCCATCTCTGGGCTGAGTCAGTGCTGAGCTAGGTGAGTGAGCATCTAGTTCAATCCAGGCTATTGGGTCATCGTCAGGTAGTGCTGCAGTGCTAAAGTGATCAGGATCATCAATCTGGAGTTGTTTGAGTTTTTCAACAGCATCAGAGTGGGACTGGTTTTTGCTTGAATCATCAAAACTGATGGCATCCTGGTAGATGACAATGAGGGAATCTCTTTGGCTTTTCCCTGTGGTACTGGAAATGGAGCTTTTTTGGGAGCGCCTCTCCTGTTCCTCAAAGAAAGCACTGAAAGGGTTGATAGGGGAGGGCTGGACATCCTGGAGTGTCTCATTCAAGAAAGGATTGGTGGCCCTCCAAGGTGGTGCCTCGGTTGCAGAGGGTTGATGGTTTAGGGAGGAAATGTCCAGCTTCTGAACTTTGGAGAAACTCATCAAAGTGCTCTTGGGACGATCCCTCTTGAATGACCCAGTTGAGTTGTAAGGTACAACAGGAGTCACAGGTGCCATAGGTGGCATATTTGGCTTCAGAGGAGATGTGATTGGTGGCAAAGGGCAGCTGACTTCATTGTCATCAAAAGTGACCCAGCTGGGGAAACGAGCAGAGGTCACTGGAGGGGCAGGGTGCCCATTCACGGGTGGACTGCTGGTTTGCCAGCTGATGGCTTCCATCTCTACCTCTTCATCTTCCTGGAGTGAGGAAGAATTGTCTAAAAGGAAAAGGAGAAGATATCAGGGGCTGCCATTCAGAGTTGCAGGAAACTAATGTAGGGGAATGAGCATTACTCGAATTTTATCTAGAATTCAGTGAATTCCAAAGTAGCTCCTTACCTGTCGCAAGTGCTTGGTCTGGGTACAGAGCTTATGATTTTGTAATGAGAACATGGGAAGGGCCATCACATTGAATACAATGATAATATAGTGGATATTTCCTGTACTTTCTTCTAGGGTATGTATTCTTCAGTTTTAAACATTGAAAACTACCTCCTATGTAAAGTAATATAAACTGGCCTTATTAAAAAAGAAAGTTATTTTCTGTCAGTGATAATGATAGTATATTACATACTTGTAAATATTCTAGCCCAGACATGATAAATAAATATTAAAGATAAAATGTTAACACCCTTGGGCCGGGGATTTAGCTCAGTAGTTCTGCCGCCTGCCTCGCAAGGGAAAGGAACCGAGTTCGATCTCCGGTACCCGCCCCCCCGCAAAAAGTTAACACCCTCAATATCTATGTAAGTTCATGGAAATGAATCAGAAAAACAAAATCTCCAATAGAAATATGGGCAAAAATCATAAACTGATAAATCATGAATGAGAAACTAAAAATGTCTAATAAACATGTGAAAAACATCCAATCTTTGTAGTAATAAAAAAAATAATTAAACCAAAAAATCAGTGAAGATTTAAAAAGTTTTCAATATTCAATGAGGGTAAGGGCACCATGACAGACAGGAACACTAAACAGACTCTCAATGGGAATAAATTGATACAGATGCTCTGAAAAGAGGTCTCGCAATTTAGATTACTGGTCTTAACAAGTGTTCATAAACAATGACTTAACAATTCAACCCTAAAGAAATAAATCAAATTGTGAACCAAGTTTGAAAAACAAAGATGCTCATTTTAGCATTATTTAAAACAGGGAAAAATAAAGGGAGAAATTTCAAACGTCTAACAATTGGATGAATGTTAAGAAATTGAGGCACACAATGGAATGAGACCCAGCTGTTAAAATGTTTATGTTTTCACAGCAATATAAGAAAATGCTCGTGATATAAGCTCTTCTTTTCTTCTCTAGCATTTCCATCTTGGGGTTTATTTTAGTATGTAAAGAGAAAAGGTTACTATCAATAAAACTCTACTGTGGCAGGGTCTTCAAGAAAGGAGATAATAGACTTAAGTGTTAATGAGGGAACAACCCAAACTTTTTCAGGGTTGTAAGGACCCCGTGTGTCTGCACTGGTTTGGGAAGGGTGAGGAAAATGAGGCTGTTAGCAAGGAGGAATGGATTCTGATAAAGATTTGGCACAGTTAATAAATGTCTGGCATATAGTAGATACTCGGTAAAGGTTTACTGATTGAGGAAAGAAACTCTGCTTTGGAGTAGCTCTCCTATTTTCCATGTCACTGGAATGTGTATGGGGTTCTCTACCACCATCTAACCCACTATTTCTACTGCCAGGCATTTGGAATCAAAGGCAAATGGATCCTGAAAAATTTATACTTTCATCAGCAATACCACATATAATTTTGCACATGTAATCAATCACACATGGATGACTGGCTTGTCATCTGTCCTTCCAAGAAATGTATTCAAACAGACAGCAATTCCTTTAGTTAAGAGCATCATTTTGAGAAAGTAGGCTAAACACATGACTAGGTCTACACACGTATCCACATCTACCTCAAAAATACAAAGAGCAAAAAGTATTCTCTACATGTTCAGCACTACAAAAGGACTCCAAGGCACTTAAAAACTAAAGATGAAAATCTCTTCCAAATTCACTTTTGTAGATGTATGAACTATATTCTGGGATATGAAGGGAAAGAAATCAGGTAATAAACTAGGTTCAATGTATTTATACTTCATGTATTTATTACTAGTAATGCAGGCAAAGGGGAACATTATGACCCTGAGTGAAATATAACCTTGGGATTGTAACACATCGTCTCTGGAGAACTGGGGAAGGGGTGTGTCTCAGAACTTACTGGCTCCTTTCTGAAGTGGCTCTAAGGAGTTCTGTAGGGTAGTGGTTCCGCCCAAACCGCCCTGCTGGCCCAGCCCTGCTAACAGGGATCTCCTGACCCTGGAGCCCATCACCACCCCTTGGTTTAAAAACAAGCTGAAATCCTCTTCCTTTGGCGAGTGGCTTTCTGCCAAAGGATTCCCTTCTGTTGGGACTCTTGTCCTCAAATTAGCATTTCTTGTCATCTCCTGAGCCAAAAAAGAAGAGAGAAAAAGGCTTCTGTCTCTACTGAAGATCATTTTTGTCTTATAATAAATTCCTTCTCAAACCAAGTTATTTTAAAAAATCACACCAAACTCTTGACAGTTTTGTAACATTAAATTCATAATACAATTTAAATGAAATATCTTTAAATTTGAAAGAAAAATTCTGAATTAAATTAACTTGCAGAGAGATTCTATTTCCCCTTTGTCAGTCATTTAAAAACATCAAATGATTGTTTCAAAGTTCTCTCTCAACTCGCAGTTTCATGTCCCATAATTACAATAGTTATAAAAAACTACCCTTTGAGCCGGGCGTGGTGGTACATGCCTATAGTCTCGGCATTCTGGAAGCTGAGGCAGGAGTATCTCCTGTGAGTTTGAGGCCAGCCTGGGCTAGTGAGACTGTTTCAAAAAAAACAAAACAAAACAAAAACCTATCTTTGTTTTTCCATAAAACCATGTATAAAGAAAAAATATTTCAATAACGTAACATACTTTTATAAAAGAAAGCCAAATGTGGACCAGGGTTCACATAAGAATAAAGCATTTCTTGAGGTGAAACCAAATACCACTTCCAAAGGCAATCCCTTGTTAACACTGGCTTCCTGATTGTGAACTCTTTTTTTGGTACTGGGGATCGAACTCAGGACCTTTCCAGGACCTTGTGAAGCAGGCATGGTGCCACTGAGCTAAATCCCGGTCCCCTTATTGTGCACTCTTAATTTTGCTTCTTTTCTTATCTCACACAGTGACCATCTTCTATTTTGTTTTGTTTTGTTTTTGAGACAAGATCTTGCTATGTAGTTCAAGCTGGCCTCAAACTCATTATGTAGCCCTGGCTGGCCTCGAACTCATGGTGATCCTCCTGCCTCAGTCTCCTGAGTGCTAGGATTACTGGCATGCACAACCACACAGGCGCATTGTTTTTATAAAGGTTGGATCTTATATATTTTTAGTAGAGGATTACTTTGGCCTTTCATGCATATATAAAATTTATCTGGATATAAATTTTCTGAGCATAAATATTTGCATTTTATGTGGCAGAAAGTTTACTTCTTTAATAAATAAGGAGTGTTTCCTTAATACAATGAATATACTCTCACAAAGAGGATAAAGAGAAAAACAAATTAATGAAGGAATATAAATGTCTAATAATTATTAAAGAAAAAAAGATTAACCTTGTAAAACTATAAAATATCATTATTCCCATAGCAGAGAAACAAAGATTTAGAATAAATAATAACCAGTTTTGGGGACAACTGGGGAAATCTACACTCTACTGGGAGTATTAAAATTTTTTCCTGATGGGGAACTTGAAAATTTGTACACAAGTTTTTAAAACAGTGACTCAAGAATTCTTATAGGAGTTTAGTCTAAGAAAATAACAAGACAAGCATGTAGCAATGTACACAGTGGCTGTTTATCATAGCAATGTTTGAAAAATTACAAACAACTTAAATGCTCAACAATAGGAGATTAGTTAAATTGTTATATCTTTAAAATGGAATCCTATGTCACCATTGGGATATCTATAATTTGAATTCAGAAAGCCTCGGTTTCAATTATATATTGGCAGCTAAGTAACTATGAAACTTTGACTATGTTTTTAATTTCTCTGTCTGTTTTCCATGAATTTAGGAGAATATTAAGTCCTATCTAAAAGGCAAACAGTAAAAGTTCAGTGGATGCAGCAGATTTCAGACTGCTCTTCCCACTATTAGAATAATATATTTCATTAGTATATATGTGTTAGCATTGGAATGTAATATTTCATAACGTTTTGGTGTTAAAAAACAAATGTCTCACCAGGGATTTAGCTCAGTGGTTTTGCCGCCTGCTGCACAAGCACAAGGATCCGAGTTCAATCTCCGGTACCAAAAAAATCCAAAAAAACAAAAAAACAAGTCTCATGTGGAGAAAGGGGTATATTAAAAAAACTAAATCTGTGCTAGGAGTAGTGGTACATGCCTGTAATCCCGGCTACTAGCAAGTCTGAAGCATGAGGACCCCAAGTTGGAAGCCAGCCTGGGCAACGTAGCAAGACTCTGTTTCAAAATTTAAAAGAAATTGTTTAAAGGGCTGGAGATGTAGTACAGCACGCCCTGGGTTCAATCTCCAGTAACACTTCCACCCACAAAGTTTATCTATATTCTTCCCTTACAAAGACAATGCTGTATTGGTCACAAAATAAAGTTCAAACTGTACCTTGACCGCAAATACTAATTAACCTTAAGGAACAAGTAGCTTAGGTATTCCCTAGGCTGAGAAAGCAGCAGTTAGATGTTTCCTGCAAGTTATGACCTGTGCTACCAGTACTAGAAACAACGAAGGGGAATAAAAGGCTGGCAAATTTCCCCAGTAAAAACAGCCAAAAGCTAATTGTCTTGAGCACAAAGTTAACCATTATCCACAATTCCATTTTATTGACTTATTAAAATAAAACCATAGCCAAAACTCTGGTGTTATTTTAATTACCATCTCTTCCACTTGCTCCCTCTAAATTGCTTTTAATAGGAATTGGGCTGTGGCCAAACAAAAGCCATGTATAAAGATAAGGCTTTCATCCCACACCACAGGGAAAAGTTCCGGTATATCTGGGGTGCCTAGTATCTACTGATGCAAACTAAAGAAAAAAGGTGGATTGTTTTAATGTGAGACCAAAATCTATTTTAAACTCCCCAAAGATTGTATCAAATGAATGATTACCAGGTAATCAAAGTCACCAAAGGCAGAGGAAAAGTGAGAGCTACCGTA